TTTTATTTGTCAGTGAAGCGAAAAATGGCACAAACAGACGCACCCAGAAACATTATGTATGTTCAACTTCCGGTTGTTATAGACGACATAAAGTATTCGTATACACGAACACGTTTGAATTCATCCACGGATTCACTTCCCTGATGCGAACAAAGATCTTTTGAAACTCGTCTCAAAGTATAACGTCGCTTGGAACGGTCGTTTGTTAACACAATATATTATTATATACATATATTCATATAAAAATTTTTTTTATTAAATGATTACAAAAGGAATAATCTATTTTATTCTTATTCTTAAATTAAAATCGTAAATTATTTGTATTAATATTAAATATAACAATTTTTATGATAAATAAGAATATGTTAAGATATTAAAATAAGAATATAATTAAGAATATATTAAAATATATTATTAAATTATACATGTTAATTTATACATATTATATATTTTATACACACACACATATATATATAAGCAATATATTGAAATATAATTTGTCAAAAATTATCAAAAATTATATTTTTATATTGATAAAATTTTAACAATAGTTTGAAACTACGCATAGAACAGGTGGTCTGGAAAGCAGCAGTGTTATAATGAAAATTTAAGCAAGGGATTCAACGCTTGCCATCTGGGCTCTACGGTGTGAAACACATGCTGCACATCGATGCCATTCTCTGACATGTGTCGATATGCTTCGAAACTTGTCTTATTTAATCTTTAGAGGGCCGACAAATGAGATATTATAAACTATTAGATTCATTGGAAAGACTAATACATACACAAATATACATAAGTAATAAGTAATACACAAAATTTTTGTCAAGGCTCAATTACTATAGTGGTTTTCCGGTCTTTAAAGTTTAAGATAAGATAACAGAAACAATATATTGTAATCTAATACAAAGTCCGTTCAACATTAAACAAAAGAAATGATATTTATAGCTTAATATTATAAAAAATAAAATGTATTCTTCATTATCGTCGATGTACCTTCAACCCATATCAAAATTAAATTATATAGATATATATCGATAATAAATTTCTATTAATATTTTTTCAAATTTTATAATGATATATAACAAATAAAATTAATAATTTTCAAGAAAATCTAAGCGAAGCATCACGATACTATCACATCAGTTCATTTCAATGAGAGCAGGTATGCAAACGGACAAAAGAGCTGAACTTAAAATCCTACGGGGGTTTCGTGGAGAATGAAGAAGAGAAAGAAAAAAAGAAAAAAAATAAGCGTATAACAAGGAAAGCAGATGGAAAAATGCCTCAGTAGAGAAAATCGACAATTTTGTAGGGAACGTAGCTATCGTAAACGTATAGTGGAAATTCTTTGAACAATGAGAACAAAGAAAATTTTCGGGTACCGCGGCGGTCTACGTACCGGCTGTGTGGCAAGCTGCATCGTATGCTGTTACATAGCGTAGAAAACCCTACTGCTGTGTAGGTATTATGAACTAAGTGTACGAGCCTTTCGAAATCAGACAGCCATCGTATATACCATAAACACGAGTAGACCCTCTCTCCCATGGATTATAAATCCTCGCTCTGGTATTAAAGGGAAGACCGTCAACCCCCAATACAACGAGAAGAAGCGTTTGCTAGAAGGTATATTGAAAACGGGATTTGAATGCTGCGATGTCGCAGTTTGAAGGGTGAGAAAAAAGAAACCAACTGAAATGAACGAAGGACACAGGTAGATAGGAGGGGAAAGAGGAAAGAATGAGAAAAGGGGGGAGCAGCGAATGTTCGGACAAAAATAAGGAAAGAAAGGGAAAAGGAAAGGATTAGCGAAAAAGGACGGAACAACATGGTAGAAATAAGGAGAACAGAGGAGTACCGTATGCGTTCGACCCGTGTGCATCTATATAGAGTGTATAGTACCAACATAGGAATAAGGATATGTAAGCGCGCGTGCCCGCGCAACCGACAGCAGATGCGCTCGCAGCGGCAGCTGTCCTCCTACAAGTGGTTCTCAATCACTTTCAGTCTCCAATTCTCTTTCTTTTTTCGGATATCAATGCATGTCAATCATCAATAAAAGAATATCATTAAAGTAATATCTTATTTGAAAACTTATAATAATTTGATCAAACAATTATAATATCAAACTATATAAAATCAAATATATTATACAATTTTTATGAAAATATTTGATTTTTATATTTATTTTATGATTCTTTATATATATAATATATTACATATATTTATTGAGATCATTTATATCAGAATAATAAAAATAAATATTAAATGTAATTTAATTTATTAAAAAGAAAAATATCGAGCTTGTCAACATGTCAAAAATTCTATGCTTATTTTATACTTATTTTTATATATTTATATATTTATTTGTTTATGTATTATAAACTTAAATATTAAATAATAAAATTTTAATATTATTATTATCATTTAAAATAGCAATGTATTTAAGTTTATGATATAAAAAAATTATGTATAAAATATTGTTAAATGTATATATAATAATGAACAATTGTATTTTTTTTAGAAAATAAAGATATCTAACTATTATATTTAAGATTATATGTAGATCATATCCAATTTAATGTTTCATATTTGAAAATTTCTAATTTTTAATTTTATTTTTTAAAATATACATATATACAAAAAGTGAAAATAAATAATAATTTATTTTTATCATCTAATCAAACTATAACCGATTTAAACCGATATTTCTAATATGAATTTGAAAATTGTCGTTACATAAATCGTTATAGTCTTGTTATTATAAGATCCGACCGACCCTTTTTTTCCCATTGGACATTTACCTAACAAAAAGCTAGAACAAGAATCATATACGTCACGAACTTGACAGGTAGAGCAAAATTCAGGACAGCTGATATAATTTTGGCGGGCTTTACCGATAGATCTAGAGTACCACAAAGTAATACAAGAAGAACAAAGAAGAAACATAAGTTAGAAAGAAAAGATAGCCTCACGTATAAATAGGCAAAAGAGATGGATTGCAAGAAAGTAGAAAAAGGATGATGGAAAGGAAAAGAAAGAGAGAAAGAGATAGTGAACAAAAGAAGAAAAGGGGAGGAACTTGAAAGAATTGAAGGTAGAAGCTAACGGAAAAAGATAGAGAATAAAAAGAGATCGAGAAAAGGACACGAAGAAAAAAAAGAGGAAAGCTTTAAAGTTGGTTGTTGCTGGTGTTCCTGCTTCGTTGCTGTTAAATAAGAATAAGCCCCCACCATCGGCCCTAAGGGGTACCTATATAGTTGGGGGCTTTCATGTACTTGGGACCCAAAAGGAATAAAGAGAGGAGACACCTGGTCACGGGCAGCAGTTTGTTGGGAACTCTCTGGGTGGGATGTTGTCACGTCTTTCGTGCTTCTCTTCGGTTATTTTCTCGAAAAACAAGTTTAACGAAAGAAGTTTTAAAAGTTTATCATCATGTTGTAATCATTATTATTGTCGTCGTCATCATTGTTGTGATCGTCATCATTATCATCGATATATTGTATATCGCGATATATATACAGTATCTTGACGTAGTGCAGTGGACGAAAAACGCGGATCGTTTGATTTGTTATATTGATTTTATAACATTTACATCATATTTTTCAATTAGGTGAGATACACAATATAGAATGGAATAGGTTAAGATAAAAGTAAGGGGTAAGGAAGAAAGAAGATAACCATGGCGTGGAATATTGGCAACCGGTGAAAGAGACGTCATTTGCTTTGATTTGGGGGTTAGGATACATACCGGTAACGTGCTTTGTCGAAATGTGTATTTATTCTACGATATTGTGATGTTCATAGAATATCAATATAACTTTTGTTTATTTTCGTTTTTTAATATTATGTTTTCAAACATGATCAAGATTAAGGACACGAATCGTTGAAAATTTTATGTACGTGTTAAAAACCATTTGATCGAATGTGCGACGTAGCTATGTGCGCGAAAATTAATTGAAAAATTTATAAAACATTCTGTAAAATATTTTAATATCGAATTAAAGTGTTATTTATATGATGTTCGACATAAAATTATGCAATTTATAATTTGTCAATCATATCAAATTGTATCTACATGTAAAGTTTGTGTATAGTTAATGGATCCTAATTCGTGTATGAAATAATATTAGCACACGACATATCATAATTTAAAAAAAAAAAACAAAATCAATAAAAACATCCAATTTTATAAAAATCATAAAATATTTAATATAAACAATTCAAAATGAATAAAAATCTCTTCGATTTGGAAATAAATTATTTGAAGACCTAGTCGAAGAGATCAGCATTTGAAAACACGTGTTTACATAAGTAAAATTAGATATAAGTTTTTATTTCTAATAATTATATGAAAGTTATAATTTTATAGAATCTTCAATGAAAATTCATAAAATCTCAAAATTTTTTTAAATGAAGAGAAAAATCTATTATTTTGCATGGAAGATAGGCCGAGATTTGTGACAATGTTTCGTGATGATGTAATCTTCAATATTGCACTTGTCCCGGCCTATCAGAATGCATTATATTTCATCGACAGAAGACAAACTACAATTGAACACTAACGAAGAACAAAGGATAATCCAGAAGACGATATTAATTATTTTAACTGAATTTGTCGAAGATACTGGCAGGTTGGGATGTGGGCATTATTTGTTGCAAGGTTAGATCAAATTGCACTCGTCCCGGCCTGCTGGATCTAGTCGACCTATCATCTGTTGCGTTTCTGATATCGAAGTAATATATTTTTAAGTTTATTATTTCATTGAAATATATTATTAGAAGATATATTATTATAGAAATATATTATTTATCTATTAATGTATATCAATATCCGTTTTTTGAAATAAAAAAAATATTAAAAAAATATGAAAATTAAAAAGAATATTTTTTATAATGTATTTATACAATTAGCATATAGAATAAAAATATTAAATTTATTATTAAGTGAATATTTTACATATTTCAGATTTCAAATATATGTAAAAAATTATATGTACATTTGTAAAAAAAAAATATAAATACAAATTAAAACAATAAAGTATATATTTAAAAGAAAAAAAAAACAATCAAATTTCTATTATATTAAATTTATCATCCCAAACTTAATATCATAAAAATTAGCAATTTTTATCTAAATTTTCATCAAAATAAATGATTTTTTAAAAATATTTATATATTTATATATATGAATTTATATATATTTATTTATATATATAAAATTAAATTATATATTTAAAATTAAAACGATATATAATGAATAAATATTTACATATACATATTACCACCATTTTTTTCAATGAAATTTTAAACTATCTTATATCATCTTTTAAATTATTTTAAGTTATAATTTTTAAATATTTTTATTAGATATAAAATTTTAAAGATTCTTAAAAAATTTATTCTTTAAATAATAATTGTAAATATGAAAAAGCAATTTTTTTTTCTTTTTCATTTTTGAATTTATTGCAATCTATAATAAAATGGAAAAAGAAATAGATATTTTTTAAAGTTTTGTAGTATTTTTCGAGAGTACAATACAAATATAAATGATGATTTATTTTTGCATATTCAATATTCATGCTGAAATACTATTCAATTTTTTTTGTTATCAATAAAAAAAAAAGGAATTACTTGAAAAGAGATGGGAAAAACGAAAAAAAGGCTAAGGATTAAGTTACGTTCGATTGAATAGGAAAACATAATGAAACTAGTAAAACCAATGTCGCTTTTCTTGTTGATCAGTGGAACATGAATTTTATTTTTCATTCATATCCTTCAAGTAGAAGACGTGGTGCAAGCATCCCCTTTTAAGAGTCTCACGGTTTGAAATAAAACACCTGGCTTCTTCCCTATGTGAGCACTATATAGTATACATACATACGTACAATTACATGTTAGCACATTTACGCGCACGCATATTCTCACGGCAGAGGACTGCTTCTCTTCGTGGACTGGTTTTGGCTTCCTTATAAACTTTATTCAATTCTTTGTAATATGCCAAAGGGTATACTTCAATATGTGTATGTATATGTATACGCATACATACACCTACTATTCATATGCTAAACAATAAATGTGTTGAAAGAAATGAATCTCTATCTTGTAGATACGGCTGTGCAGCTGCCATATTCATCTATTATATGTATGCATAAATCCAATGGTAAAGAATTTTTTAATTATAAGATCAGAAACAAATGATTCGTTGAATCATTTTAATAAAAAAGGTTTATAAAGGCTAATTCTTTAATACTATAATTTATTGCAATATTAATTTTACAATCAATTATAAATTGCAATTCTTGGTAAAAAACCGTTTAATTATAATTTTGTCAATATTTAAATAATAGCATAAATTTTCCCATTTTTTATCGAAGAAAATTTTTTACATGTATATTTTTTGAAATGTTTTAAACTGAAAAAAATAAATGATCAATCATTTTATTTAATATGTATATATAAATATTTAATCTTTTATATATCATATTTAATTAATTAATTTAATTAATTAATTTAATTGATAAAAAAAGAAAATTTATAATTATAAATTATTACATATGTATATTTTTAATTTTAATTTTACTTTCTAAAAAAATAAAAAAAAATATATTATTTGCGATTAATTTTTTTGCTTCATTTTTTTCAATTTTGCATTCATTCCGATTTATCAAATATTTACTGAAATATTTATAAATTAAATAATAAAATAGAAATAATATAATATTGAAAATTTTATTTAAAACTTAATATTACTTTTTATTTAATATTTAATATAATAATTTAATAATGTCATTGAATGAAATACAAATTTTTAAAATTATAAAAATTGTTCCATGAAAATTTGTTGTAATATATTTTTATACATATAGTTAATTGATATTTCTCTTTGTGAAAAAATTAAAGCCCGTTATAGAAAATCTACTTAAATAGATATGAGAAAAGCATGTAAATTTTGTATAGTATATGTATATATGTATTTTTTCTCAAACAATTTTCTTTTAGGTTAAAGAAATAATACACATATTATCTATATAGAATTGTATAGACAAATATGTATTAGAATTTTTATTTTTACGATTTTCAATAATATTTTAAATAATATTTAAATATAAAGATTTAATATTATAAGAAATATTTAAGAAATATTTATTATGAATCACTTCAAATGCATTTTAGATAGGTTAGTTATTTTTAGTACAATAGTTTAAAAGAAAATTTATTTAATTTCAATGAATCAGGATTCATTTATAAAAGAATATATCATTATATACCTTTTTTCTTTTTGATATTTTTTTTAAAATAAATATTTTTTTTCGTAGGACTTCACGATATGAGTTCAGAAGGTTACAATCTTCATTGTCAGTATCAAATTCCAAAATTCAAATACCTGCTAGAATAAAACGTGATCCTACTGATATTTTACGTGTAAGTATACTAAAATTTTTTTAATATACAAAAGATTTGTAATATTTTACATTTAAGTATTTATTCAATTTCACTTTTTTATTTTTTTAATTTTAATTTTAATTTTTTAAAGGCTCTTGAAAGTACTATACCTAAAGATTCTAATGTGCATATAATGAAAAATTATATATATCATAATGATCCTTATTTACTTCCACTGAAAAAATTGGATTATCGTATTTATGCATTATCATATGAATCAGGTAAAAGAACTGCGATGTGGATTCATAAAGAACATAGCGATTTATTTCCAAAACATCTTTCAAATCCAGAAATTGAGGTAAATTTTATTTGTTATAGAAATAATTTTATTTAGCATAATGTGTTATATTTTTATATATATTTTATTATATATATATTTTTAATAATATAATAATTTTTAATATGCATTTTAGGCATTTAAGCCACTTCCAAAGTATACTGATAAAAATCAAGTATCAGAAGAAATATTATTACATGCTATATCTCAATGTTTAGTGTCTGATGCTTTACATATCTATAAGTTATTAGATGCTAATGTTTCTAATGAAACAAAACAAGCACTTTTAGAATTATTGTGTTTTTATAACAATGAAAGTTGTGCAACTAACAATTTATTGATTGAACAATGGTTTTCTAAATCCAAAGAAAAATATATTTGGCAGTAAATATTAAAAGAAAGAATCAAGAACTAATTTTATAATTGATATTATTTTTAATAGTTTTGTATTTCAGGTATGAATCAGAGATTAGTGAATTATATAATTTCTTAATAACTCAAGATTATTTAACAGCAGCAGCTGCTCATAATATTATGATATGTGGTTTAACAAAATATTCAAGAGTAAATCAATTTTAATTCTTATAATAAATTCTTGTATCTTTGTTAAAAATTTAATATTTTTAATTTATATTTTTAGATAGATGAAGCTTGGCTATTATATCAAGAATGCGAAGAAAAAGATATTCCATTAAATCTTACTACTTGGAATTATATAATAATATTATTTGAAAAGATTTTTAATACAAAAGAAATAAAAATACATTATTTGTTTGACATTCTTAAATCAATGAATCAGAAAAAAATTAAACCAAATATTCAAACATTAAATGCTGTTCTTAATGTGATTACCAAATCAAAAATAGAAAATCTTACAGATGTTATAAAACATTTACTTGTAGAATTCAAAAATATGAACATAAAATTTTCACTAGCGACATATTATTATATTATGAAAGGATTTACAAATCACAGTAATTATATATTATTTATAATTTATTTGTTTTAATTCTTTATTTACAAAATTATATTTTCTTACAGATGACAAATCACATGATAATTTCATACAAATTCTACGTACAATAAAAAATAAAAAATTTACCATTCAAGATCCAATGGATAATAAATTTTTTAAATATGCTATGTATTTAGCTCTTAAGTATAGTGATAGAGAAGCTGGTGATATAATCCATGAACTTCTTCTTACAGCAGATAATTATAAATTTATTTCTAATTTAATAATAGTACGTTTTATTTAAGGATTTTATATAACAAATTCAATATTTTCTTTTCATGTAATTATTTTTTTTTTCATATAGGAAAGTGATTATTATAATGCATATATATTGTTATTGTTATCAACAAGTACAGTTGAAGAATTCTTTGAGTCTTATGAAAAACTTGTTCCAAATGTATATGTGCCAACAAAACGACTCTTAATGGATATAGTAAATGAATTAAAATTTCATGATCCACATGTTTTAATAAAATATATACCGAGATTATGGTCAGACATAAATAACTATTGTCGTATGGATCTTTCAGTGAAACTTACTCTAATATATTTAATGAAAATGGATATTTTATCAGCTGATTCACCTTTAAGGACAATTTTTATAAATGCAGCATGGAATTGTTGGAATGATATAAAGGTTAACAGTATTTATTTACTCATATTGAATTTAATGATGTTTAAAAAAAAAGTACAATAACAAATAAACAATAACAATAAAAAATTTGATATTTACAGAAAGAAATTAAAATAAAAGGAAAAACAAATACTCCAATTGAAACTGCCATGGTAGCTTATATAGCAACAATATTATTACACGGTGATTTTGTGGAAGAAAGTATCGAAGTTCTGACATATATTAACAAACCAGATCTATTTATTCCAACAATAAATGAAAATCAAATAAATGAATTATTTGACAAATATATTTCAAAGCAATGTATTAAAGGATGTTTTGTACGTATATTTATATTAATAATTTTTTTTTTCATTCGAATTTAAAATCAAAAACATAAATTTAAGACATTTTTTTTTACAGCTTGTTCTTGATTACTCTGTGAACTCAGGATTTTCAAATATCGATCAAATGGTTATCAAATTGCATAATCTTCCAGAATTTACAAACGTTGATCGTGACAAATTGATTAATTTAGTGGGAGAGAAAGTTTTACATATATTGGATACAGAACATTAAATTAATCTCGATTATGTATAAAAAAATAAAATATTTATAACATTATTTATTTAATTTTTAACATATTTTTTTTTATCTCTACAATTGTAAACGAAAATATCATCACATGTATAAAACTTATAATATTTCGTATCATTTCTCTATTAAATTTCTGTTGTATGTATAAAAATTTCAATCAATTTGTCATTCAAAGAATTGAAATTACGTGCATGATTGGTATGTATTAATGTCCTTGTCCCCCTAACTAGGGTACTTACGATTAATAAATTAATGTATGTATGCGATAGTGGGAGGTACTATTCACTCGTCCCTCAAATGCTTATTTCCTGCATCGAGTAACTTAACATCGTAACTCATTCGTTCACATATAAAAGCTAAAACGTTGTGATATTTATCGATTCAAGAATCTTATAATTATATGAAATTTTTCTTTTAAAGCTTTTTTATTGTCTTTAAAATTTTGTCTTTAGAAACAGAATAATGGATGAGAAAGAGCATATGCATTTTACATTGGAATCTGTGCGTAAATTGATAATGAAAGATGAACCTAATGTGGAAATTACCAGTTTGGAAGAAGAATTCGGTTCAGGAAGAGGTGACAACTATACATCTATGTTGTATCGTATTCGAGCAAAAGGTCGAAAACAGATCAAAAATAATGAATGGACCAATTACGAATGTGCAATAATTTACAAAGTTTTACCCCAATCAAGGGAACATCGTGAAGCTTTTAAAAGTGAACTACTATTTCAAAACGAAGTAGCATTTTATACGCATGTATGGCCTGCATTAAATAAGTTACAAGCAAATGATAGAAAAGTTTTTAACGGCGTTGCAAAAATATATGCAGCACAAATTGATTTTATCGCTATGGAAGATTTACGAGAAAGAGGTTTTAAAATGGCAGATAGAAGAAAAGGATTACAACTTGAGCATTTGAAACGAACATTGAAAGCTTTAGCAGGTTTTCATGCACTGAGTTTAACTCTTAGAGAAACAAGGTAAATTTAATAATAATTTCTTTTCTTTCTTTTCTTGTTTTTTTTCTATTTTTTTATTTTTATGTTGTATTATTATATCTATGTATATATATATATATATATATATATATATATATATATATATATATATAT